TGTTTTGTTACAAACTTTGTTAGGACAAGCAAAGACTTTCCTTGCCTCTTCTTTCCTCTTTGTCTTTCACATCCTAGTTTTGCAGCTGCAAAATCTTTTCCTGCTATTTGATAAGTGGTGTCTTTTCTCTTTCCTTGTAGCTTCTGACACCCTGCTGTAGCTCCTGCTGTTTTAATATTCTTTAGCAGAAATTTGGGACTTTTAGGCGTTCTAGTGCCTCCAGAGATTTGCTGCCCCACTGTTGCCTCCTGTACAAGGCTGCATTTGCATCTGCTGCTCACCTCTGGCAGTGGCAGTGTGCTGAGCCCAGGCACTTCAGCAATCCACCAGCTTCCACTGAGATCCTGGCACAAAGTGGGCTTTAACAGCCTGAACTCTTCCATGGTGCCTCCAGATCACCCTCTTCTAAGCCTCTTTTTCCTCTCCTGCAGTCTCAGAAAGGCAAGCCAAACGAGTGTGAGTATGGGAACATCGCCTACCCCCCTGCAGTGAGGAATGCACATCCCAAGGTTTCCCGAAAACCTTCCAAGTAAGAGCTCACCCACAGCAGAGACCCAGCTCTGCCTGGCCCTGGGAAGTCTGCCTGCTGGCTTGGCTGGCTTTTTCCTCTTCCTTACTTTTTCCCTGGTCTTACAGGCAGAAAGAGGAGTCAACAGTGTATGAGAACTTGGGGAAAAAGGAGGAGAAGGTGCGGAAACAACGCTCCTCAGAGAAGAAGCTGAAAGGCTCACTAAAGAAAAAATAATCATTATGTTGCAGGTAGCCCCATGGGGGTTTGAACCTGGGCTGAAGGACAGGAGCTCACATCCCAGCTGGCCTGTCTTGCATTCCTTGCTCTTGGACTGGAACAAAGCCTTCCCCTTCTTTCCTGTGCCAGCTTTCAGTGCCGTGACCCATGGAGACAGTATCTCAGCTGACCAACTCCATGGTCCCTTGCCTGTGCAGGCCAGCACAGCACTGCCCCCTCCTCATTCATTAGCAGGAAAAGGTCACACCCCTCCTTCCCTTGCTCCCTGAGCACCAGGCCCAAACCCACCTCTGCTGTGTCAGCTTCAGAGGAATTCTCAGCCAAGAGCTAAGGAAGGTCACTCCAGGAGCTACATCTCTGCCCAGTGCTGTGAGTTAGTTTATCCTGTTTGTGTTCCCTGAAGCCTCAGCTTTTCAAGTATGAAGTTTTGGGCCTGTTTCAGCTCAGCTCCTCTGCAATTCAACAGGAGACTTCCTCCTTCCTTAATACCAACCTTCTGCCCCTCTTATCCTTTTGCTATCCCATCCTTCACCAGGATGCTGTAAATATACCAGAATTTGATGTGATGGCCATGTTTTCTGTTTTGTTTGTAAATAAACTTGTGTTTGTTTGGCTACCAGGTCCCAAAAGGTGTTCTTCTTGGAGTGTTAGCTGTACTTCTGATTTTACCTGCAGACCTGAAAAGACTCACAAGGATGGCTCCAGCTTAGTTTTTCTGATTTCATGTTGCCTTCAGGCTTCTGAACAGAAGCTGTGACCAATTATGGTGGCCTCTTGCTGTGAGGCTCAAGTGTTGGTGGTCAGCAGGGAACCCTGAGCACGGAAAGTCAGGTGTGACAAACTCTGACACAGCTTTTATATCTAAATTTTACTTGTGGGTTTTCAAAATGTGAACAGACAAAGCCACAGTTGCTCTGACCTCGTGCTGGTAACACTGCCACTTCCAGCAGCAGCCTGGTTCAAAGGCTTCCAGGGCCCCCTTCCCACCAGGATTTATACACAATGCATTGGGAGGAAGGACACTGCTTGCTGTCATTTGATATGGCAAGAAAGTTGGTTGGAAGCATTTGGAAGGCAGAAAAGACCTTGTGAGCAGAGCCTCTTTCTGTGTGCCAGCCTTCAGCTTCCCTTAGCCTGTGAGCCCATAGGCCTGTGTGTGCATTTCCCAGCTGGCTCTGCCATTCCATTGCCACTAGAGGAAGAAACAGGAAAGGGGCAGTGGGGGAAATAAGGGGCAGAAGTAAAAATGGGTGGAGGGACACGCTGTGTTTCACAATGCCAGATACCCTCTTTTAAGTAATGGGGAGGGGCTAAAGTCCTGGCCTAAGGAAACATCTACCTTTGCCTGAGACCCCTGGGTAGCTTCAAAGGACAGGACTCACTGTCTTCCTTCTTAAACAGCTGCCACAGCCTAAAGCAAGGCATACCAAGGGTTAGCTTAAACTCTACCTGAAGTCTGAAAATAAAGACATCGTGTGGAACAAGCTCAGGTTACTGAGAACCTTCTTTGTGTTCAAATCCTGAGCTTGATGTGCCCATAATGTCCAGTCTACAAAAATTTTAGACTGAACAAGGACTTTCCTGACTGCACATCAAGAAATACAGCACTGTCATAAGCAGTTTACTCTCCTTTACATAGGATCTGTTACACACAAATACTTTGGGGCAACTATTTGAGAATGACTTTTCAAAGCTGGTTCAAAGAATTTGACCTTCTGTGACGTTGCAAGTCCAAATATATAGGTATTAGTTATGGCTTGGATTGCCAGTAAGCTTCAAACTAGGAATCCATAGATTTTATCAGTTCCTTTAAAGATCTCGTGCTCTGCTTCACCATGGTAAGAAGTCCCTAAAGGCCTCTTTTCTTCCCTGGAGAGCTCAAGTTGGAGTTCTTTGTAAAAAGAGAGGCTTGGTTGTAAACAGACATGGTCTCTGGGGTGGCTGTCTTGACCATCATGATCATGAAACAGCTGAGTTGAAAATCCTAGAGATAGGAGAAAAACCATAAGTAAAGCTACTGCCCTGGACCTGGGGAGAGCAGACTTTAAGCTGCAGGGAAGCAGTTGGTACGGTCCCCATGGAATCTGCTTTAGAGGACAGTGGGGTACATAAAAGCTGCTCACTTTTTACAGGGCCCCTTTCCAGGAGCACAGCAACAGGCAGTTACAATGTGTCAGAAGTCCAGCCAGGGAGGCTGAGGGCTGGCTTCGCTGAGCAAGGGGCTCCTTCTGCAACTCAGCAGAAAGTGCATGGACTTTGGAAAGGACAGATTATGCAGGGGGACAGACATGGTCCTTGCCACTCTAGGGAAAAAAGGCCCAAGCTCGAGTTGAAGCTGGCTGGTACTATGATGAGTAAAGATAGGCATTTTAAAGTATGTTAAGAGCAGAAGGAAGAGTAAAGGTTTGTCACTTGATGAGGTGGGTCACCTCATCCCCAAATAGTGACGAAGCAGACATTTAATGCTGTTTTTGCTTCTTCCTCTGACACTGGTGATGAGGGGGTGTCTGGAGCCCTGAGCTGGATGGCCATGGCTGGGGGAAGGATGAACTCCCAGCTGACTTGGAACTTGTATGGGATTTGCTGCTGCAACTGAATGCACCCAAGTCTATGGGGCCCAGTGGGATTCCTCCCAGGGTACTGAAGAGGTGGTCATGTAACTGTGAGATCTCTCTCAGTTACTAATCAGCAGCCTTGGAAATCTGTGTAAGTTGACATGGAGGCTGGCAAACGTTTTCCCAGTTTTCAAGAAGGGGAAAAAAGAAGATCTTGGTAATTACAAGTCAATCAGTTTCACTTTGGTGCCTGGTAAAACTGTGGAGAAAATTAGTCTGGAAGCTATCAAGAAAAAGACTTGAAAGGCAATGCAGTCATTGATCAAAGTGTGCATGAGTTCTTGAAGGGAAAGTCCTGCCTTACAAATGTAATGACCTTTCACAACAAGGCTACCCACCTAGCAGTCAAAAGGAAGGCAGATGTGGGGTGTTTTTTTTTGTTTTGGCAAAGCTTTAGATAGTGTCACCATATCCCTCTGGACAGCATTCAGCACACAGCCACAATTTCATCCACGCAAAACTGAACAAGAGCAAATGCCAGATTCTGCACCCAGAATGCTGCAGTCCTGGATGTGAACACAGACTGAAGGATGAGACTGGGGTGCAGCCCTGCAGAAAAGACTCTGGGCATTCTGAGTGATGGCAGGCCCTGCAGGTGCGTTATACTGGGCTGTGCTAGCACAGAACAGTTAGCTAGCCAAAGAAGTGAGGTCCCACTGCACTCAGCTCCAGCCTCACCATCACTGGGTGCAGCTTCAAGCTCCACAATGCAAGGAGGATATAAAAATAATTATAATGTGCCCAAAGGAGAGCAACAAAGACAGCAAGGAAATGTGTCACTTACAAGGAGCAGCTGAGGATACAAAGTTAATTCAGCTTGGAGAAGACCAAGGGCTGACCTAACGCCTCATCAGGGGCAGCAGAAGGGGGGTGCTGATCTCTTTTCTTTGGTGTCCAGCAACAGGACACAGGGAATGGCTCAAGCTGCACAGGGGGAAGTCCAGGTTGGGTGTCAAAAAAAGGGTAATTTACAGGGTGGCCAAGCTCCCCAGGGGAGCAGCCATAACCTTGAGTCTGTCTCTGTTCAAGTTGCGTTTAGTCAATGCTCTCACCTAAAGTTTAACTTCTAGGTTGCCCCAGACTTGATCTTTGTGAGACCCTTCCAACTCAGGACATTTATGAATCTATGCTGCTTTGATAACCTCAAAGCCCTAAATCTTAGTACAGGGCAGCCCAGAAACAGCAAGAAGCTCCCCCTAAAGGACACAAGATCTTGCTGTTGAAACGCAAGCAAAGGAGTTTAGTCAGTTGAGGAAGATTTCTCCTCCTCTTTTCAGCCAGGAAAACAGAGAGGGGAAAAAGCCCAAGGTGTAACAATGGAGGGCAGGACACAGCATAGAGATGCTGCTGTGACCTGGAAAAGCAGGAAAACCTATCCTCATCTGCAGCCCTTCCTCACAGGCAGCTAAGGAACCAGCCTGGTCACCCACACAGCTCGATGAGCATCCAAACATCTCTCCTCTCCCCCCACACTTTGATGATCTGCCAGTGACCCTGAGTGAATTTCTTTCTTTAGTTCCTTTCCCTTCCTCATCCTCATTCCAATTTCAACCAAATAAAATCTCTGTTCCACCTCTCACTACATAAAATAACCACTTTTTTCCCCATGCACTAAGCAGATTTAGACACAATAAAAATTTGGTTGTTTTTTTTTCTTTAATTTTTACAAATATCTGAAAGCATCACTGAGCAGACAGTGACACAAGTAAGATATTCCAGCAGTGACAGGCACCCAATGAATGGCATTGTCCTGAATTCAGTCCCAGGTTCTCTTGGGATCAAGAGTGAGAGAGAATCAAAATTTACTAGAAAAAAAAGCCTGGTGCTGATGGCAGAAGAACTCCCTCACTTGGCCAAAAAATAATTTGATATCCTACAGAAATCTAAATATTAATGAAGATTAGAGGCAAATATCCACATGGTTTAATACCAGTAAGCCCCTTTGCCCCCTCTCCAAATTTAACTGGTGGGATGAGGAAGGAATTGCAGCTGCCTAGAGGCAGAGCCCGTTCCTGTAACTGAATCACCACAGATGGAGCAGAGGCATGGGGACAAAATCTGGCTACTGGATTAAAAACTTCATAGTGAGGACAAACAATACTAGTGGAGGGAGTTCAAAGATCCTCACTCTTATCTTCTGCTGGTCAGCAACGCTGGTTCTAGGAATCTTCAGCTTCTTTCATTTCTTGCCTTTGGGTAGGAGACTGTCACTGAAAGGGAGACAGAAGAGAGTCATCAGTACAAGTCACCAGAAAGGACAAGCAAAGCTGTACCAGCCCTCAATATGGATTCTGAGGTATGGGTCACACCCAAAGGATCTGAACTTCCAAGTCCTTCCTATTAGGCAGGTGTTTTTTTTTTTCCAAAGCCCCTTAAATCTTCTGGAACAAATGTAACAGAATCTGGGCAGAAGTGAGGAAAAAAGGATGTTATAATCAAAGATCCCAGAGAAAAGAAACCAACTCTGGTTTCCCTTCTCAGTTCTGAGAAATCTAAGCTTTCACCTGCATCCTGTTAGCTCAGCTGGCACTGCCTTTTTCAGTAAACACCAAATTCCCTGACAGCTCTGAAAGCAGGAGATGGAGTGGTCTCACATGAACTAGAAAGCTTTTGGACAATAACAAAAGCATCTTCCCCAGAGATCATCAGCCCAAACCACCACAAATTCCCAAGATCATCTGCCTGCCTCCTTCTAGCCCTGTCTGCCATAACCACAGGATGCCCTGTACATGTGGTAGCTCAGAGAAGGCTCCACAGTTACTGCTGCCTTTCCCATGCAAGGCTCCCTACGAGGCACACATGGAGCTCCAATTACTGCACACTCCATGTACGTGTTTGTGTGGTTCTCTATAAGAGAAAGCTTCAAGTTTCATATCACAAATGGGAATTGAGGTGGGGACTGGAATAAACCTGCTGGGGCCAAAATGGCCCAGGCCAGAAACATGCCAGGCACCAGGAAACAGCAACAGCCTGGTTCCAGTACTAACAAAAGGATCAAAACGTGCAGTGCCTTACCTTCCTCTGTGTCAGCAGATGCAGTAAGGGGTGCAGGGTGGGAAAGAAAAAAAACCAAGAGTAAATTGATGAGATTAAACAAAAAACCCCATTTCCACAGTAGGAGAGGCTGCTCCCTACTTGGCTATATCCTCTGACATTGGGGTCCTCTCAGAAAAAGATCCTGAGAGAGCTCTAGAAAGGGGAGCAGCTTCCCAGGCAGGGTGCAGACAAACCCAGGCACCCAGCCCCTTTACCTGGTGAAGGCCTCATCCTGCAGGTTCAGTACCAAGTTATCTGCTGTGAGATACACACGGTTTTGTGAGGCAGCAATCTGAAAAAGAAATACATTACAGACATGGCATCCAGGACTAAAAATGCACATGGAGGAACAGCGCTAGGAACCCTTCTCCCCCTTCAGATACAGCACTCTTGTTAATTACTTAAGATCTCATTTAAATCAATGCAATTCCCCAAAACAACTCCCTCCTTCCTGAGTTCCCATCCCAGAGCCATCAGACTTTCTAAAAGAAGTGTTCATTCTGTCTTTCTGTCACAAAGACCTTTGATCCCACATTTATCTGTCCCCCTTTCTCAGCTGCAGCTAACCAGAAGCTTTAGGTGGCTGCAGCAGAGGGTGGGTGATGGAATCTGATGTGGATCTGACCATGTCACATGAAGGGCATGAACTCTGAGCTTCACATCTAATTGCAGATCCTTGCTAAGTCTTAAGCTCTAATTGAGCAGAGAAGGGCTGGGCAGGAACAAAGATCAGGACAGGGCAGATCACATTCGCCTTAAATTCATCATGTGGCCACTGGGCTGGGGGGACACGAGGACTGCAAAAGGACAAAGGGAATTCTGTGCCCAAATGCTCACTGTTTTTGAGATGTTTTGAGCAGCTCGGATCTTGCGTAGCTTGATGTAGCCTGGATTCCTGCTGAGAGCTTCCCCGAGGTACAAGGGAACCAAAGTTAAGGAAAATCCCACAAACAGAAGCCGCTTACCCTCAAGGAATTCTTCCTAAGCCATATTCAAGAACATCTCAGTGGGTAAAAAGCAATCTCTGTCCCAGTAACATGAGCCTTTGGGTAGGCATATTTTCACCTGCCCAGATATGGACATTATGGATAATGGTCACACACAGCAAATGAAAGTTAAACTTTACAACAAGGAGTGCAGGTCCATGGCCTGTAACCTCAGACAAACCTCGCTCCAGCCGACTGCAGGAAGGGAAAAAAGAACAGTGACCTACTTGAGCTATCATCAGATCCCACTCTCCTAAGCATGAGCTCAGTGTGACAGATCCTCAGCACTGCCAAGCTCACAAGCCACATCCCACAAAATCTCCTGAAGCAGGATATCATCTTGGCAGCTGTCGCTTCTCCTTCAGCCTGAACTATCTTCTGCTTCTGCTCCTGCTTGGCCTTCTCCACCAGGAACTGGGCACGCTGTGCCTCCTGCTGGGCTGCAGGGAGAAGGGACACGGGCATTGGAAACACATTGTCTCTTCCATCAGAACATGATAGCTGAGACCAGGGGCTCTGCTTCCCAAAGAACCAGTAACATTCTGGGACCACATCCAAGTACAAAACATACCTGAGAGCACTTTACCTTCTCTTGAGTAAAACCCACAGCACCCAGAGCCTCCACACGTACCCCCCACAGTGAGTGACAGTCCCAGTCTGAAGAGGAACCTTAGTTTTGGGAACTCAGTCCCTCCTGTGGTCTATCCCATTAGCTATGGCTTTCTGGTAACACTTGCAAAATAAACCTGTTCAGCTCTGTTACTAAGGAGGCTTAGAGATTTGTAACCCTGTGCCTGAACTTATACAGTGACACAGCAGTGACACACTAGCCCAAATTCCACCTCCTTGTTTAACAGCTCAGTGAAAAGGCAAAGGCAATCCACCCTTGTCAGGCACCAGTGGAACTCACCCACTTGCTTAGCCTCCACAGCAGCTGTGTATTCACGGCTGAAACTGAGCTCTGTGATAGCCACATCATCCAGGATGAGGCTGAAATCCTTGGCTCTCTCTGTCAGCTCTCTCCTAATGAGCAGAGACACCTGAAACACACACACAGCAACAAGAGTAGTCCCAAGCACAGGGTGCTCTCACTTTCTGAGCACTCCAAAAGCAAAGCACAGCTGCTCCTCACAGCGTTGGGAGAGACATTCCCCAACCCCAGCTCCAAACCATGGACATCAACACCACCTCTGAGTAACATATCCACAGCCACAAAAACCATTTTCAAAACTCTACTACAGCTCATTTATAGTTACTACTAAACTGCTCTATGCAAGTAACACTGTGAAAGTAAAAAACCTTGAAAGCATCTTTTACTTTCACATCCTGCTACATCCAGTTCCATAGTTCCCACAGTTTTGGCAATAAACATTTCTTTATCCACCCTGGTTTTGCCACTGTTTGCAGGCTGTGCTTTCATAACTATACTCCAACACAAAAAAAGAAATGACCATATAATTTTTTTAACCTGTATCGCATCTCTTAATACAGTAGCTACTTGTCTCGTGTAGCTACTCCGCTTTTTGTGGCTGCTTTGGCTGGGTTTTGCTGTTAGATACTTTGATTTATTCTACGCTTACTTCCCAGCACCTTTTTCAGGCAGCCTGACAAGTCCTGTACCAAATATTGACTTAAACAGAAACTATTGCTACAGTATCACATGCTTGGCCAGCAGACCATTTGCTTTTACTTTTACTGCAGCAGTTTCTGAGCAGAACTCTAAAGAGTGGCAGAAACCTTTCCTGAGGGAGCTGTGAGTGCACAATTACATGAAATCACTGATTTTTTTTTCTATCAATCCCTTCAATACCACATAACTTTATAATAAAAAGCACTGGATGGATACACAACAAAAAGACAAATGTAATTCAGTTTGCTCCAAAATTTCAGAGATCAAAGAATGATTCTCATCTGAGATCACAGATGCTTAACAGCTTTTGCTTCCAGCACAGCCGAAACCCTCGCAGATATTCCTTGCTGTCCCATCCTCTCCATGCATTCTCTTTCTACATGAAGACCAACAAATCCCTGCAGTGCACTCCATGTGGATGAGCACAAAAAGCCAAAGCCCCTCACCAGGGGAATGCAGATAATTTCTTACAACAAAACCTAAGGACACTCAGTTCTGCTCTTTGGTTCTTTTGACATGGATGAGCGATTGGTCTCTGATAGCTGAGAGATGCTTTGTATTTCATCTAACAACTTTTCCTCTTCAGCACTGTCCTGGTCCTGCAGGACCTCCTCTAACACCTTTTACAACAAGGCCAGCAGCCCCTCTCTGCACCAGCTCTAAAGGGATGAGAGCTCTCAGAATCCCTGGCAAACTATTACAGCACAAACTTTCACAACAGGCATTTTAAAGCTAGATGTTTCTAATATTTTGCAACACTCCCCCAGAGAACAGTCCAAGCCTTTTCTAATCAGTGCCTGCAGGGAGGGTGCCAAGACAACTGAGCCAGGCTTTTCTCAGTGATGTCAAACAATAAAAGAAGCAATGGGCAGAAACCAGGACACAAGAAGCTCCACCTGAATATGAGAAATAACTTCTTTACTGTGCAGGTGACAGAGCACTGTAACAGGCTGCCCAAGGAGCTTGTGGAGTCTCCCTCACTACAGACATTCCAGGACCATCTGGATGCAATCGTGTGCCATGTGCTCTGAGATGACCTTGCTTGAGCAGGGAGGCTGGACCAGATGACCCACTGTGGTTCCCTTCCAACCTGACCCTTTCTGTGATTGTGAATAGAAGTTATCTGTGACCTTCTGAAGCATCCATCACTGACAGGTTAACTGTTTGTTAACTGCTCATTCCCATTGTTTTTCAGATCTTTCGAAACTGCTTAATTTGCTCTGACAGTCATTCCAAGATCTGTATTTTAAAAGGCTGGTCCACTGACACCTGTGGACAATTAAGCAAACCAGCTCCTTCTCCCCTGATGTTACATTCTGGTATACTCTGTGCACCAACACACCCAGTTTCCCCCTGGGAAGCTGTCAACACAGTATTTATACCTGCACTGGAATCAAACTGTGCATGGGACACTCTTCCCATGAGGATGCACTCCCCAGCTGAGCACAGCCACCCTTCCCTCCCCTGCAGGCTCCCCCCGAGGCTGCCGGGCCGGGCTCACCTGGGCCCTCTGCGTGATGAGCTGCGAGGCGTTGAACTTGGCCACGACGCTCTTGAGCACCTCGTTGACGATGGAGGGCAGCACTCGCTCCTCGTAGTCCAGCCCCAGGCGCTGGTACATGCTGGGCAGCTCGGCCGCGTTGGGCCGCGTCAGCACCCGCAGGGAGATGTTCACCATCTGCAGGTCTGCGGGCACAGCCGGGTCAGGACTGGGGCACAGCGAGAGCCCCCGCAGCCCTCAGCCAGGATGGGACAAGGAGCAGCGGCACCCACGGGGAGAGGGGCGTTCTGGTTGGAATTAGGAGGAAATCCTTTACGGAGAGGGTGGTGAGGCACTGGCGCAGGTTGTGCAGGGAAGCTGTGGATGGCCCAGCCCTGGAGCTGCTCATGACCAGGTCGGACGGGGCTTTGAGCAACCTGGTCTGGTGCAAGGAGTCACTATCCGCGGCACGAGATTGTGACTAGACGATTTTTAAGATCTATTCCAAGCCCTCAGCATTCCATAATTGTGTGAGGAGCGCCAGCACTATGGCGGAATTCCAGTCCCGTGCCTCCCCCCTCGCGGCCCCTGTGTCTCACCTTTGGAACCGGTGGGGGAGGAGATTTTCCGCGGCCGCGCTCGGATGTCGTAGATGATGGGATACTGGAACCAGGGGATCCTGCGGGAGCGGAGCCGCGTTAGGGGCGAGGGCCCCACCGGGCCCGGGAGGGCGCCGGGGGGACCGGGCCCTACCTGAAGTGCAGCCCCTCGGCCAGGATGGTGTCCTGCTGCACGCCGCCGATGCGGTTGAAGAAGATGGCGCGCTGGCCGCCCTCCACTGCGGGGAGAGAGCAGAGGCTTGGTCAGCACGGTTGGCGGGCATGAAGGATCCGAGGGGTTAGGGGGAACTCCACTCACCAATGAAGACGGACTCTCGCACGCCATAGGCCAGGGCACCGGCGCCCAGCAGCAGC